CAGTGGCGAAGCTAAAGGTCCTGCTGGTCCTGCTGAGCAGGACCAACAATTTGCAAAAATAAGTTTTTTTTTTAATCAAAATATTTTTTCCTCGCAGTAAATCAAGCCCCAAATGACCCCGTTTACAGCACAACAGCTTATACAGGGATACCATACTTACATAGAGGTCCTGCTCTATACTAGGGCAGCCCTGTATTTTGGTCCTGCTCATAAGTATGATACCCTATGTTTGGTCCTGCTTCACAATGGGCTTTTGTAAATTTGGTCCTGCTTCACAATAGTCTAGAACAAAGAGCAGTCCTGCTCAATCTCGGGAGCAGGACCTCGTCGGAATGATCATCATAACATTTCGTAAGCAGTAGTGATTTGATTGGTCGAGGGTTCACCTACGTAGGTCAAAGAGCATTGTTTTGAAAACCTTTGGTCCTGCTATTTCTGGGAGCAGGACCTGCTCTTTCTGAAGATCCCTGTCGCGTATCGTAAAGTCTCACTTTGAATTCGAGTCCGACTAGACTGCCATTTTGTAAGAATATTGAGTGAATATATCGCAGATTTTGAATTTGATAAATAACCATGGCGCAACTTCGTGCAAAAGATGCTCTTGGCGAAAGAGATCTTGTTTCACAGTTACTCAAAAAACCATTTGCTGCAAGGAACGTGGCTGAGCAAAAACTCATCGTGCAGCAACCACGTCCAGTTCCTAACTTGAAGATGAAAACGAAGGACAGAGTTTTTCAATTTGATTGGTATGCAAAGAAAGACTGGCTTTGTGGGAGTGAGGATAAGCAAGGACTCTTTTGCTGGCCCTGTTTGTTGTTTATGCCCGGTATGTCTCAAACCTGGACAGAAACTGGGTATTCTAACATGCACAGCTTCCTCTCTGACTGTAAAAAGCATGTCAAAGCCAAGACCCACCTGGAGGCCTACAAGACATGGAAAACTTTCGATGTAACGGAGAGAATAGATGTTGTTTTTTCGAGAGCAAGACGAGAGGAAGTAGATCGCCATAACGAAGAAGTCCGACAGAACAGGGAGATGCTGAAAATTCTCATCGAAGCGGTTCTTTTCTTAGGGAAGCAAGAGTTATCTTTCAGGGTACACGATGAATCCGACACTAGCTTGAATAGAGGCAATTACAGAGAGCTGCTGGAATGTTTTGCCAAATTTGATTCGGTTTTTGAACGTCGTCTTCATGGAAAGCTAGCTAATGAGGAAAGAGGCAATGTTGGAGTTTTTACAGGTGTTTCAGCTGATACTCAAAATGATCTGATTGAATGCATAGATTCTGCGATTCAAGATCAAATTGATAAGGAGATTTATCAGTCTACATTTTTATGCATCCAGGTTGATGAAACAACAGATGTATGCACAAAGGAACAACTCAGTGCCATTGTTCGTTTTGACAAGAAAGGTGAGATTGTTGAAAGGTTTTTAAAGTTCTGTGATGTTAGTTCCAACAGATCTGCATCTGCCATTAGTATTATTATTAAAGAAATTCTTCAGAAATATGGCGAATCAATGAAGGAAAAATTAATTATGCAAACCTATGATGGTGCTTCTGTAATGTCTGGCCAAATTTCTGGCGTTCAAACCCTTCTTCGCAAAGATTTTCCTTTTGCATACTTTTTTCACTGTGCTGCACATAGACTGAATCTTGTTTTATGTCAATCTGCATCTATCATGCCTGTGGTTAAGGTTTTCTTTGCAAATGTTAGTGCATTTAGCAATTTTACAAGCCTAAGTTCCAAAAGGAAAGATCATCTTAGGTTTCATGGCATTGAAATTCCACGCCCTGGTGAGACAAGATGGTATTATCGCTCTCGCACTGTAAAAGTTATTTTTGAAAAGTTTGATATTCTTTTTGATGCTTTAGAGGAAATAACTGACAATCCAAAGATCTGGGATGATGCTGCCCTCACTCAAGCTTCTGGGCTACTGCAGTATTTGAACAGTTTTGTTTTCTGTTTCTTCATCTGCCTCTTTCACAAGATTCTAGAACAGTCTTCAATTCTTTATATGATTCTTCAAAACACAAAAACAGATTTTAGCTTTGGGGTGGGAAAGATAGCAGAGTTTGCAGCATATCTCTCTGACATGCGCAATGATGATACCTTCAGAGAATTTTATGATTCAGTAGTTAATAAGATTGGTGAACCATCTTCAAGATCTGAAAGAAAGCACAATTATAAGCAGCTTTATTTTGAAGTTCTTGATAATATTACTAATATGCTAACTGAACGCTTTGCAGATTGCCAGAATTTTGAGTTCCTTGATCTTGTTAATCCCAATTTATTCTCTCAATGGAAAAATAAAGTTCCTGCTGCCAAATTGGAAATGCTGAAATCAAAGTATGGGCCTCTCTTCAATATTTCAAATCTTGAAAGTCAATTGATTTTTATTTACAAGGATACAGACTTCCACAAAGAAAGTCCAGTTGCACTGTTGCAGTTTATCTACAATTTCAATCTAGAAGCAAGTATTCCAGAAGTAGTAAAATTATTAAAATTAAATGCTTCAATCGCAGTATCCAGTGCCTCAGTTGAACGCTCATTTTCATGTTTGAAGAGAGTTAAAACTTACCTGAGGAATACAATGGGACAAGAACGCCTTGGATCTTTGTGTAGAATCAGTACACACAAAAACATATTAAAAGAGCTTGAAGATCAAAATTTGCTCACTGACTTAGTCATCGAAAAGTTTATTAAGAAACCAAGAAGACTGAATTTTCTTTACAAATAAGTTTTTTAATCTGAAAAGTGTCCAGGAAGAAATATTGACACTGTTTGAAAGTTTATCAGAATTTATGTTGAGAAATATTTTGCCAAGTGCTTGATGCCATTTAGACAAAACTGTAAATGCTTTTGGTTTTTAGAACAGGATGGTTCTAAGTTGCTAATCTGAGTTTCATGCCTCCATCAGGCAACTAGTTTTTTTCAAAGATATTATAATGCTGCTGTTGAAGGATTTTGATAATTTTACCAATTTAAAGAAGTGAATATTGATATTTGAAAGCTGAAAAGCCTGCTTACAAGATGAACAGTAAAGCAAACTATAGTCACTAACTGCTCACTAACAGAAACATCAAGAAATTATGGAAAGATTTTTATTAAAAACATTTATAGCAATTTATTCAACAGAATTTTTCTGTGCAAGTGATATCATATCGTCAAACTGACATTGTGCTGGTTGAAGGAAGAGTTTGCCAGTTATATCTATGCATTCAATCTTATCATTTTGAGTATCAGCGAAAACATCATCAGCAAGGATGGCCCAGTGGCTAGAGACGTTGACTACAAATCAAATCGTCTGTGGTTTGAGGCCCTGACATGATCAAACTTTCACTCAAAGTGAGGAGAGTCACTAGTTCTCTGTATTCCCAGGTGTAGGAATCACAAGGTGTGGTCACATCAAGAGAAAGGACCAGTGCATTGCCCTACAAGCATAGCTTCTCAGTGTCCTAAAACTACCTTCAGAAGCTAGGTAGCAATACAATTTTGAGAATTCAACCTGTCAGTAAGCAGGAACAATGCAGGAGTTTTCTGATTATAACTTGTTGCTGAGTAAAGGAATACCATGGAGCAAAATTTGAGAACTATGTTTTCTGATCATAACTTGTTGCTGATTTAAGTGCTTTGACACAACTTGAGATGAGAACTATCTCTTTATTATGACATTGTGTTTCATCTTGTGCAGGACAGACAACTCCAAAATTGTCAATTTTTTTCATCTATAAGTTATGGCTCATGGTACCATTCAAGTGATGCTCCTATCCTATTTTAAATATATTTTGCTATTTAACAGGCAAGTGACATAATGAAAAACTATTATTTCTGGTTGCTTACCCCCAACTTCTGTATTGCCATGGAGTTGGTGGGGTTCCTTTTGCCTGAAATGGAAACTCAAGCAACAGGCAAACCCTTGATGTGGGGCTTGAGCTTACCCCAATGTAATCTTTGCATTGGGAACTAATTTGCCTGGGCAATACCTTGCATGCATTTGATAACATTTATATAACCTATGCCTTAGTTTTATAATTTCGAATTTAGGCACTTAAGAATCTGAATTTAGACACAAAGGAATTTAGGTCAGTTTGAATCACTGGGCAGAACCAAGAAATAAATTTTGTTGTTGGCTTTATCAAAAGAGAAATTAGAAAAATAAATGTTCTTGATAAATTTTGATTAAATGCATAAATTTTATGTCATTTTTTTCATAAATGAGAGAGTTGGTGACTAAGGGTTTCTAAAAAGTTTTTCATAGAGCCATAAAAATCATGCAAATTACCCAGTCATAGGGATAATCAGGCAATGTAGATACACTACTGATTCAAAATCATTTGTTTGTTTAAATGTCACGTATAGACTTTGCAATTGTGATTTGTCCAGAATTGCAAAGAAGTTGATAGAGAAAGATCCATCATATTTTGACGTTATTGAAAACTTTTTGATTGCAAAAATTGATTGCAATACGTTTACTGGGCGTTGCCCCCTTTTCCGAGAGTTTATAGGGCGTGGTTTTGCAAAAATTTCCTGGGGGCCTTGCCCCCAGACCCCCTTTTCCTCCCATGAGCAGGACCATCAGTTCTGGGCTGGCTTCGCCACTGTAAACTGGGTACCATTAAAAAATTCAAACGATCAATACATCAATACATCGTAAATACTAATGTTGTAGACATAACCGTGCATAGCGGTCTTGGCCAAGGGGCAGTTACTTCCAAGAAATTTTCAAGGCTGGGGTTTCAATACTGTTTTAATGATCTGTCTTCACACCCTGTTTTGCATATGAAAATACTCAAACAGTTTACTGAAACTCTTTACGGCTTATAAAAATTCCTCATGGATTTATGCTTCATGAAAATCAGTAGCATAATAAAGGGTTAATTCACATTGCAAAGTAAGGAATTTGCCCAACCAAACATCAACTAGCTTTTTAAGGGGGGGGGGGG